AAACTTTAAATACCATCCACCATTTGGAACGAATTTGGCAATCTTCAAATTAAAAAAAAAAAAATCTGTTAAAAAATTAAAAATACCGCATGTAGATGTTATATAAGGGTCTATACGACGATAACAGGTAACATTTGTCATAAGCCATTACAATATTCAAATGCGAAACCTAAAAAAATGTAGCTAAAATCAACTAAACACCGAATATCGGGAGGTACCGTTATATGGGGGCTATACGAAGACGTGGACCTGCACAGACAATTTTCTGTCATAGACCTTAGCATCCATTACGAACATCAACTACCAAATTTGAAACAATTCCGGTGAATAATGTCGTCAAAATCATCAAAATACCGAATATCGAGAATTACCGTTATATGCGGACCTGACGAAGACCTGGACCAGCATTTACAATTTTCTGTCATAGGCTGTAGCATTTACAATTTTCTGTCATAGGCTGTAGCATTCAATACGAACTTCAAATACGACATCTCAAACAATTTCGTAGGTATTGTACCTAACATCGTCTCAATACCGAATATAGGGAGGTACTGATGTATGGGGCCTATACGAAGATGTGGACCTGCAAAGACAATTTTCTGTCATAGGCTGTAGCATCTATTGCGAATTTCAAATACCAAATTTGAAACATTTCCGGTTAATAATGTCGCTAAAATCATCAAAGTACCGAATATAGGGAGGTACTGTTATATGGGGGCTATACGAAATAGTAGACCTGCACAGATAATTTTCTGTCATAGGCTGTAGCATCTATTACGAACTTCAAATACCAAATTTGAAAGAATTCCAGTGAATAATGTCGTTAAAATCATCATAATACCGAATATCGGGAGGTGCCGTTATATGGGGGCTATACGAAGACGTGGACCTGCAAAAAAAATTTTCTGTCTTAAGCTGTAATATCCATTATGAACATCAACTACCAAATTTGAAACAATTCTGGTGAATAATGGCGCTAAAATCATCAAAATACCGAATATCGGGAGGTAGCGTTATATGGGGGCTATACGAAGATGTGGACCTGCACAGACAATTTTCTGTCATAGGCTGCAGTATCTACAACGAACTTCAAATACCTAATTTGAAACAATTCCGATAAAAAATGTTGCTAAAATCATCAAAATACCGAATATCGGGAGGTAGCGTTATATGGGGGCTATACGAAGACGTGAACCTGCACAGGCAATTTTCTGTCATAGGCTGTAGTATCCATTGCGAACTTCAAATACCAAATTTAAAACATGTCCGGTGAATAATGTCGCTAAAATCATCAAAATATGGAATATAGGGAGGTACCGTCATAGGGAGGCTATACGAAGACCTGGATCTGCACAGACAATTTTCTGTCATAGGCTGTAGTATCCATTACGAACCTCAAATGCCAAATTTGACACAATTCCGATGAATAATGTCGCTAAAATCATTAAAATACCGAATATCGGTAGGTGCCGCTATATGGGGGCTATACCAAAATGTAGACCTACATGGCGCATTTTCAACACCAAAAGTCCTGCAGACATAATATACATTTGAGTAAAATTTTATCAATCTACTTCAATTCGTTCAGAAGCTAAAGTGATTTCCACAGACGGACAGACAGACGGACATCGCCAAATCGATATAGAATATTCTGCTGATCAAGAATATATATTTTGTGGGAAATCAAATTTATTTTCAGAACATGAAAATCAAGATGAGTATGAAAATAAATTTCAGATTTTTAGTTCATTTTTTGTAATAGTACCTCATTTTATTGTACTTTTTAGTGCCTTGGTACCAAAAGGTACAAAAATTTCCGAAACTATAATTTTCGCACTCTTCCCCCTCTTAACAAATATCGTATACTCTGGTTGCCAAATCGTTGTCCTTTTTAGTACATTTTAGTGTACATTTCCACAACTTCCCTCTTAATTGTCTCTTCACTCCTTTCTCCGAATACCTTAATCTCTTTCAAATACCATTATTCATGCCATTGCCACAGATAGACTTGTTGTGTCAAAATTTGTGTCCACTTGTTATGGTTCCATTGTCCAACTCCATGCATGGCTTCAGTTGATCAACTTTTTCACTTGGATTTCGTTTTTTCGTTTCCAATTGTTCCGGACAGCAAATGGACAGCTCTATCAAATGGAGAGGTTATTGGAAACAACAGAAGAACCAAAAAAAAAAAAAAAACAAAGGCCAAAACAAAACGAAAAACCAACTGGCCAACAATAATGGCAATTGTCAAGTATGAACAAAACAAAAAAACGGCAATATTGTTAGTACTTAGCAAATGTAACAGCAATTGTACAGGGTGGCCCCAAATGGAACTTGACAACTGTTGGAAAATAAAAATAAACAAAATTTACTTATATTTAAAAAATGATTATTTTTGGCGGAATCCTTAAGTTTTTTTTTTTAATTTTTAAATTGGTATTACATTTTTCGACCCACCCTGTAACTTCATCATACCATCGTGCAGCATAAATACATTCATTTGTAGATGAAAATTGTACTTGTTGCCCTGTTTGACATTTACAAAAATGTCATTTCCTTTCTGCCAATATCTGCCAGGAAATGTAATGCAGACAAAATGAAAGTGAGTAAAATTTGGAGATAATAATTTAACTAAATATTGGGGGGAAGGTGAAAAATGCTGATAGGTATTTTTTCCATCAGGATCTTTAATCGGGGTGGAAGGGGGAATTGTTGTTACGTGTATTTTAAAAAAGGTCCACGTAGGTCCACGTCTTCGAATAGCCCTTATATAACTCTACCTCCCGAAATATCAAAATACCGAATATATTTTGATGATTTTAGCGACATTATTTACCCGAATTGTTTCAAATGTCGAATTTGAAGTTCGTAACAGATACTACAGCCTACGACAGAAAATTGTCTGTGCAGGTCCGCGTCTTAGTATATCCCCCATTTAACGGTACCCCCCGATATTCGATATTTTGATGATTTTAGCGAAAATTTTTTTTTACCTGAATTGTTTCAAAATTCTTATTTAAAGTTCGTAATTGCTTCTACAGCCAAGACAGAAAATGAGCCATGTAGGTTCACGTCTTCGTGCAGCCCCCATATAAGGGTACCTCCCGATATTTGGTATTTTCATGATTTTAACGACATTATTTAACGGAACTATTTTAAATTTTGCATTTTTAAGTTCGTAATGGATACTACAGCCTATGACAGAAAATGAGCCATGTAGGTCCAAGTCTTCGTATAGCCCCCATATAACGATACCCCCCGATATTCGGTATTTTAATGATTTTAGCGACATTATTTATTGGAATTGTTTCAAAAATTCGTATTTAAAATTCGTAATTGATGCTACAGCCTAAGACAGAAAATGAGCCATGTAGGTCTACGTCTTCGTATAGCCCTCATATAACGATACCTCCCGATATTCGGAATTTTGATGATTTTAACGACATTATTTACCGGAACTATTTTAAATTTGGTATTTGAAGTTCGTAATAGATACTACAGCCTATGACAGAAAATTGTCTATGCAGGTCCACGTCTTCGTATAGCCCCCATATAGCGGTACCTCTCTATATTGGGTATTTTGATTATTTTAGCAACATTATTTACCGGAATTGTTTCAAATTTCGCATTTGAAGTTCGTAATGGATACTACAGCCTATGCCAAAAAATTGTCTGTGCAGCTCCACGTCTTATAATCGCCATGGTACCTCCCTATATTCGGTATTTTGATGATTTCAACTACATTATAAACAGATTTTTTTTCAAGTTTCGCATTTGAATATTGTAGTAGCTAGTGACAAAAGTTGACTATGAAGGTCAACGTCGTCGTATAGACCCTAATATACAGCTATATTTGGTATTTTTAAGATTTTAACAGAATTTTTAACGGATTTTATTTTTTTGAAAATTCCCAAATTTGTACCAAACGGTGGAGAGTATTCAAAGATCGGTCCGTCCGAACTTACAGCAACTTCAGGAAATTTGTATAAAAAATGCAATATTTTTATACCCTCCACCTTGGAAAGGAGGGTATATTAACTTTGTCATTCTGTTTGTAACATCCTTAAATATTCGTCTTAGACCCCATAAAGTATTATATTAATATTCATTTAACGATGTCCTTCTGTCTGTCCGTCTGTCTATCTGTTGAAATCACGATACAGCCCACATTATAAGAAACTTAACTTATAAGTTAAAAAAAATAAATATAAAAATATTTTTAAATTTACGTTATATTATAAAAATTATCCTCCAAATCCGTTTTGATTGGCTGCCAAATGCTTGCTAACGAATATCTCTCAAATTATCATCGACTAAGATGTTAATGAACTTAATGCGACTAAATCCCAAATGTATGGTATTTGCAGAAGATTATAAGGGTCAAGTTTTCTACCAAGTACTTTCGTAGATAACAATTTGGTATTGACATGAAATATAACCAAAAAAATCCTATGTCATGATAATATTTGGAAAATATGTGATATGAAAACAACAGCAAATAGTTTTAAGGATTTCGAATTTGAAAGGATGTATTTTAAAACCCTTAGGCATTACAAACTAGTGTATACGATTTTTTAGGATTCTTGGGAATTAAACTTGGATTGTTAATATTTTCCAAGGTCAAAATGTGGATTTTTAAAGAATTTTCCAAGCAATAGTTTCCTTCAAACAAGAATTTTTCAAATATATATTTCATGGATTAGAAGGACCGATTGCTTTTAAAAGTGGATTATTCAAAAATATTTTTAAATTATAAAAAATAGGGTTTCCAAAGACTACACCAATTTTTACAACGACAAAGCATGATTTCTTTTACATATTTTTCCAAGGATCAAAAGTGAGGTTTTTTCAATAAAAGTGCATATTTGTAAAATATATTTTCTCAGCGACCCTTTGTATTACGGAATTTTAAAATTTGTTTTCAAGGGCTCTTGTTTGAAACGAACTCTTGACATTTTCAAACGTATTTTAAAAACATTAATTTAAAAATTAGATTTTGGATAGAATGTCTTCCCAAGGACCTCGATTCCTTTAAAGTGGATTTTTAAAGTTTTTCTCAAGATCATTGATATCATGAAACGTAGATTCTACGAAAGAGGACTTTGAACATTTCATTTTAAAGAATATTTTAAAGGTTCTTGACCACTATTTCAAATCCACATGTAAATGAATCGAGGACCTCGGAATATATTTTATTAAAACGCACATTTTTGGCTCTGAAGTCCCCAAAAATATATTTTTTTTTAAATTCCCATAAATTGTGATTTTTTAGAGACCTAAAGTTTAAAAGAGTTATTTTTTATAAATATATATATTTTGGAAATATTGGTGAAAATTTTGGATTTTTATGCAACACTTTCCAAGGTTGTCGATTCCTTAAAATGTGGATTTTTAAATGAATAGGTTTCGAAAGACTATAAAAGGCATTTTTTTTAAGAATATGTTCCAAGGATCTCTTGCCCTCTAGACGTTAATTTTTTTTAAATATTTTAAATTTCCAAGGATCTTCCTTTCTTAAATTTTGGATTTCAAGAATATTAATCCCAGGTCCTATTAACCTATTCATCAACGAATATATTTCCAAACTCCTCGTTGTCTTTGAAAGTGTATTTTAAGGAGCATTGTTTTAAGGACCTCGAGTGATCAAAGCGTACCAAAGAACCCAAGCCCTATAAACATTCAGTAGTTTGAATTTTTTAAATAATATTTTCTATGGACCTTGAGTTATAGTAATTTAAGTTTTTGAAGTACATTTCGCAAGGACAAATTTATAATGACTTTTTACAAGCACCTAGAGTCCTATTAATTTAGATTCTTAAATAAAATCTTCCAAGGATCTTGAGTCCTGATAAGTTTGATTTTTTTAAGAACCTCAAGTCCTATTAATTTGGATTTTTTTAAGAATTTTTCTTTTATTGACCAAAGAATGTGTTGTCCAAGGACGCCTATTACTATAAATATATATTTCTAAGGAAAATTTTGTGCAAGGACCTCGAATAGATTTTTACAAGAATTATTTCCCAGGGTCCCGCGTTCAATTTATTTAAAAAAAAAAAAGATTACCCAAGAACCTCAAGCTCTTAAAAGTGGATTTTTAAAAAAAGATTTTACCAGACAACTCCGATCATTAAAAACCCGAGTATTGGAATACCTTTCTCAAGTTATTTATATATTGTCGAGAATTCTTCGAAGGATGTCAAACTTGTTAATTTTTAAATTTTTAATGAATATTTTTTTTCTTTTCAAAGACTTACATTACTTTAAACGAGAATATTTATCCTTTCAAGAATTTTGAGTTTCTCAAGTTGTACTTTTTAAAAATATTTTTTTCAAGAACCTCAAGTCAAGTTCTTTAAATGTGACATTAAAAAAAATCCCAAGGACCATGAGTCTTTTTTATGTGGTTGCTTAGCAAATATTGTCTAATACCTTGAGCCCTTCAATTGTTTCATTTCCGTGTATATTTTTCCTGGAGATTCGAATATTTAAAAAAATTCCAATTAATACGAATTCTTTAAACGTTGATTATTTGAGAATGTTTCCAGGGAACTCCAGTTCCTTAAAAATGGGCTTTTAAGGAATATTATCCGATTACCACGGATCCTGTAAACATGCATATTTTTCAACGACATCGAGTCCTTAAACTCGGATTTTTTCAAAAGAACTGTTTGCAATGGCATCGAATTCTTAAAATGTAAATTTTTTTAAGAATATTTTTGAAGGACCTCTTGGCCTCTAGACTCAAATGTTTTTAAAGAATTTTTTAAACTAATTATCGTTATAAGTAAGCTAGAGTCCTTCAAAGAGATTTAAGAATATTTTCCAAGGAACTCGAGTCGCTTAAACTTGGGTTTCTACAAAATATTTTTATCAATGACATCGAGTCTTTCAAATGTTGATTTTTTAAAGAATATTTTGTTAGGGTCCTGGAAGTCTCTGAAAGTGGATTTGTCTAAAAAATTGTTTGGCATAGTCGCCCTTAAAAGTGGTTTTTAGAATATCTTCCAAGGACCTCGAGTCGTTTAAACTTGGTTTTTTACAAAATATGTTGTTAATGACCTCGAGTCGATTTTAAAGAATATTTTCAATTAATTAATTAAAGAGTCCTTTTAACGTGAATTGTTTGAGAATATTTTCAAAGAAATTCCTGTTGCATAGACTTGAATTTCTTAAAGAAAATTTTCGGATTGACACGTCTCCTGTAAACATAAAATTTGTAGGTATATTTTTCAAGGACTTCGAGTCTTCTAAACTTGGGTTTTTAAAAAATATTTTTTCAATGTCCTCGAGTCCCTAAAATATTGATTTTTTAAAGAATACTTTTTCAAGAAGCTCTTAGTTTTTACACTTGGATTTTCTAAAGAATATTTCCAAGGACCTCGAATCCTTTAAACTTGGGTTTTTACAAAATATGGTTCTTAATGACCTCGAGTCTTTAAACTGTGGATTTTAAATAATATTTACAATTAATTTATTAAAGAGTCCTTTAATTGTGGATTT